TCCCAATTGCATGGCCATCCTTTTGCTTTGGACATCATTTGTCTTAAGATGTATATGTTTCCTTGTATTGTTTCATGAAAGTTCCTCTTCTGTAGATTTTCAAGAAATGCCATCTAAGTATTTTTTTTTTTTAATTTCCCCATGCTGATAATTTAACGTGTCCTTGATTATCACAGAACCTACAGTGAGTGTTGTCCAAGGGATATTCAGCAATAGTGGGCATCCCACCCAGGATCCTTATGACCTCCCAAAGAACAGTCACATTCCTTGCCATTATGACCTACTGCCTGTCCGGGACAGTTCGTCCACCCCCACACGAGAGGGTGATGGCAGTGGCAGCGGCGGCAGCGGCAGCAGCAGCAGCGAATGACACCAAAGGACTGAGTAGTCTCTGGACCCTTTCCCAGAACTGCACCTCAGTTCTTCTCCATACTCCAGTTTGCCACCACACATGGATGTTACGGATGTGGTAGGCAGTTGTTGGACATGAGCCAGATTGCTCAAAGCTAAGGCTGACACTGACTGTAGGTGCTTTCTGTACAGGTGGCTGGAAGGAGATATCAGTGTGATTTCTCATAGCTGTTAGTTGTAGAGTTACACCTGTGAAGTATGACTTATTGTAAGTCCCTGGCATGAGCCTGGCACAGTTTGCAGGACTCCTTCGGAGACACGGGTTGCAGTGGACCTTGGCATTATTTCTTGAACATGATATTTTAAATATTTCCTTCTCATTTTCATTGTAGAGCTGCACCTAGGCTTGTGCAGTTTACCAGAACGTGGGCTTCGTCAAAGTGGTGTGAATCATGAAACCTATAGAAGAAGGGGGCATATTATGAGTCTTGACTGTCTTATTTTCTTCAATGAGACTCAGAAATGTAGGGATGATATTAACCAGAAGGACATGTTCTGTCAAAGGCTCTGGCATAACTGGGTAGACGTTGATGAAATTCTAGATCTGGGTAGCAAATTTATATATAAAAACTTTAGTTGTGGTTGTCTTTTAGAAACAAAGAAAAAGGAATTCTTTTAGAAATAGGTAGCGGCAGTATTGCAGGAGTCCGTGCACAGTGCATCCAGAGGGGGTTTTCTTGGTGTTGGGCCTCACACGTTAGATCGCTGATAACTATCCTGAGCATCTGGCCATCATACACACGCACCACTAGTGATCCACAGCGCACACTGTAGTTCAGTGGCACTGTTCTGAGCACCCTTACCACATACACATTCATTACTAGAGATCTATAACATATTGATGCTTATTTCATAAACATAGAAATGAAATAAATTTATTTTTGACAGTATGGATCGAATAAGTGTAAACTAATTGGTAAAAGGTGTACATGTTAAGTGTAAGAAGATGCTTACATTTCGTAAACCATGAGTAATACACCCTGTAATATAGAATTAGGAGAAGTTTTAAGTTTTCCCCTGAGGTGACTGAAATATTTTTGTGCATATTTGAGAAAAGGACACTTTTCTTCTATTAATTGTTGAATTAGATAAAGTATGCTTAAGCTGGTCTTTTGCATTGCTAATATGACATGTACCCTGTTTTACATTAATTTGTATTTCCATTTTCGAGTTGTATATTCTATGTTTTGTAGTGTTTGGGTTGTTAATGAAAAACACTCTTATATGTTCACTGTTTGTTATATTATTGCTACTCGTTTTGTTGGTTCATTTGTTTGGCTTGGTAAACTGATTGCAATTTCTTTTTTTTGGAGGGAGGAAATGAACACATGTAATACAAATCTACTAAAGTTGGCTATTCTGAAAATAGTATAGTAATCATAGATGGCTTATGATTGAAACAGAGAAGGCTATTTATATTGCAAAAGTGGAGTTCTCTTTGATCTAGCAGGCTACAGACCTGTGTCTGCAGCCTGCTAGGTCTGAAGTGAGGTGACCCACCCATGATAGTTACTAACACGTGACTATAGAGTGTAAGCTTCAAGCCTGCTTACAAAGAGCGATAAATATGTTAGTTGTATCCTGTTTTCTTAGAACCCATCAGTAGTAGGTATACTTGTGATGGATCATGAGAAACCCTTGGTTAAAGCTGAGGACTAGGACGTGGGAGGAGGGGAGACATTACTGAATGAGATCCAAAGGTAGACGTTTTGCAGACATCCATACGAGTGATCATACAATTGCTGTCAAGCTGGAGCACTTTTAAAAGGAAATGAGGGCATTACTAATAATTATGCTGCAGTGGGCTTGAATCGGGACCGTTTGAGACAAATCAGAGGATCTGGTCATCGTGTGCATACTTATCATGCATTCACTTCCAAGTAGGGAAGTGAATACTGACAAATTGCAAAGAAAGACGATTTCTTTCTCTAACTTCTGAGCAAGCAGAGGGCTGAAAAGCTGAATACGGAAGCAACGTCATGAGAAAATGTTGCTCTTCAATCTTTTAAAGGCATCCGTGCATTAATTGACCAGTATGTGTTGCACACCTGTTCTGCCAGGAGCCTGCATTGTCCCTACTAGTGATAAAGTTGTTTCATCCAGTTATTTCAGGACACATCCCGCACTAGTGACGGCAGGTTGAGTAGGCGGATGATAGTAGAACAAACACATTTGGAACACCTACTCCTTGGCTGGTTGCTTCTTTTAAGAAACTGCAAAGATATTTCAAGTCCGGTGACGTGGTAGTTACACCATGGGCTGCTAACAAGAAGGTCGGCAGGTGAAACCACCAGCTGCTCCTTGGAAGGAAAACGAGGCTCTCTACTTCTGTAAAGAGTTACACTTCCAGAAACCCACAGGGGCAGCCGCTCCACCTCACCCTTGAGGTTTGCTATGAGTCAGACTTGAGTCCAGAGCAGTGAGCTGGGTTTGATTTTTTGCAAGTTAATTCAAGGAAATGCAGAATTGCCTATCACATACCTTCCAATCCATGGATTTATCCAGGAGTCAACTACTGTCTGACCTCTGAGAGTGTTAGGGGTGGGTATCTCATGGAGACCTGTGTAGATCATGGTCCCAAAGGAGTCCATTTTGGTAAGAAGAAGTAAAACACATATTTTTTTCTCTTCCCTGTCAGGGCTCCGGGATAAGTGAGTTTTCCCATTACTCCCTGTAGATAAGTTAAAAAACAAACCCCCAAAAAATGCTTCTTTTCTCACTCCTATTAAAAATAAAAATGAAAGCCTGATCTACAAACACCAACCCTGGACAATAGACGTGGCCTCCAAAGGGGCTCAGGCTGTGCTTTCTTCTTGAAAGATGATTGCTCCGTCCAGTGGTTGCCCTGGGCAACATTTGTACCTAAGGGCATTCTTATCTATCAGGACACACACAAACCGCATTTTGGATATTGCGAAACTCCGTGTTATGCATGGCACATCTAGTTGAGAGGCACATTTTTCTAGATATTTTGATATGGATTTGGGGGAAGAAAAAAGTGCTTTTGTTTGGAGCATTTGTTTTTGCTTTTTGGAAAGAAAACATGAACTAACCCTGCAAAATGTCTCCCTTTGAAAGTGTTACCTTTGGACACTTTTCCAAGGATCTCAAATGTAATTGAGTGATGAGGTCATTCTCCACATCTAGTGAGTCTGTTCTCGTGATCTTTGAACCCCTAATTGTGGACACAAAAAAGAATTGCTTCCTTTTCTCCTATAGCAGCTAAGGCAGTAAATGAGTTTGGAGATACCCAGAAAAATCCAGGAATACCAACCAACCTATTATTCTCTCTCTGAGGTTGATGGATCCAGACATTTATAAATTCATAAACACACACATTGATACTGGCCCAAATCATAACTCACATGCTTGCTTTAAAAGGTGAATGTTATGCGTAGTTAATTATATGATGATAAAGAATACTTTGTAATTTTTTTGATGCTTGGTATCAATTTCTTTCTCATGGCATAGTAATAATGTTAACAGACAATTTAATACATTTAGCATCACCTATACAAAAAACAATATTCACTGATTTTAGGGAAAATACTCCCCATAGAATTTTACCATAGGGCAGGTCTAATCTGTTGCAACCAAATCAGCACAATAGCTTCATGTTGTTAGAAATTCAAGCAACTTCTTGCAATGTGATCATCTCGATCCCGAAGAATCACAATAGTGGTCTTCATCACTGGGGATTCTTAATGGTAGATATTGCAAAAGTTTAACCAAGTATTACAATACCGTTTTAAAATCATTTCAATGTTAGAATATTAAGTGGTAAGCCTATTTTTCATGTAAAATCATGACATCACAAGCAAATGATTTTTACAGTTATATTTTGGGGGAAAAAATGAATTTTCTATCCCTCGGTGATATGTGTTCATTATTCAAAGGAGATGCTTAAGAGATCATGTGGTCTGAAGATTTTATGTCATGGAAGTGTACATAAATATGCAAGCGTGAGTTACATGGTGTGCCTGGGTGTTTGTTTACTAACTAATGATGTATAGTCAACTGCTCATTTAGGGTGCTGTTAACGTGGGTTTCTAACCTGGGTCTGCTGACTCCAGCTCAATATTTACTTAGCTGCATTTTGATATGACTGAATGGCAATATATATTTTTAAAGGGAAAAGAAATTCAAACTACAATAGGATGTTCTTGGTTGTAGGAAACAAAAAATGCTTTCCTTGTTGAAATATCTCTATTTTCCAAAGATGATAAGCTTTCATCATTATTAGCCTACACTGTCTGTCATTTATATCACCAAATGAGCTTGTAGATTAATGCAATAAAGCTTTCTAATGAAAAACTCTAAAGTGTTTATTTCTACATATGATTTTTATTGTTCATTAATAAAAGGAAAACCTTAAGATTCTACTGGGAAAATTAATAGTCCTCTCAAGTGTGGTTCCCTAGCCCTTTGCATTTAAAAACGATAGTGTATTACTCAGTTACTTGGGTATCTGCTTGCCCCTCGGATGCCCTGTTCTTTCAGGACAGAAACAACATTGTGTTCATATTTGGATCCCCAGGACCCATGATGGTGGCCGAGCGTCATGTCTTCTGTAGACAGCTTTAAGTTATCTTTTATGAATCCCCTAAGTCTCAGAAGCTTGTTAATTCTTTTCCTTAAAAGTTAAAACATTTTTAAAAGCAGCAGCATTGTAGCACTGGGCTGGGCTCTGGGAAATCCAACATGAATAAAACATTGGTTCTTCTTTTACTGGTTGTTTATGTACTGAGAGCCTGAGTGCCAAGCACAGTGGAGGCTGAACCAAAGTATAAGAGATAGATGTTAATTTCAAGTATCCACTATTTTTGAACTATTTTATTGGCATATACTAGACACACCATGCAATTCAATATTTCAATCACAGTAAAAAGTGTTGTAGAGTCATCACCACAATAAATTTTAGAACATTTTCTTCTTTCTTGTACTTATTAACTATCCGTCCCCACCCTCAGCACCCCAGTCTCACCTCCCATGCCCCTAAGATACCATTTATCCAGTTGCTATCTACAGAATTACCTATCCTGGATTTCATATACAGAAAAACATATCCCGCCCCACCCCCCGCCGCCAAAAAAAAAAGCCAACAGAGAAACAGAAAAGTTTAACCAAAAGGAAAGCAGAAAAGATTGAAAACTAGAAGAATGTTAAACTGAATCAAAAGGGAGATGAAGTGATAAGGTTTTAAAATTTAACTTAACTGCATCTACAATAATTCTCTTTCCCATGCACTCTGCACAGTTGCAAGGCTATTTACATCTCTGTTCTATGGACAGAGAGGACTCACCAGGGGCTGAATCCACATATATTTTCCTTTCATTAAAAAAAAAAGGAAACAACTTTAAAATGGGTTAAAAGTGAGATCAAATGATAAAACATTACATTTTAATCTACATCTGCATTATTGACTTGATAATGTTCTCTGTCTGCTCACAGGGCTATTCACAGAAAAGGACATGATGCTTGGTAAAGTGGAGGGGCAGCAAAAAAGGGAAAGGCCCTCAGGCAGATGGAATGGCACAGTGTCTGCAACAATGGGCTTAAGAGACGAACAGAAGCAGGATGGTGCAGGATTGTGCAGTGTTTCATTCCATTGGGCATTGGGTCACAATGGGTTGGAACCTACTTGATGGCACCTAACAACTACATTTTTAGTTAGAAAAGCAAAGCATCTTTCTAGCTGTGTGACTTGGACAAGCTACTTAACCTCTCAGGGTCTTCAGATTCATACCATATTTGGGAAATAATATAGGATTTTGTGAAGATTCAATAACTTTACACATGCAAAACACTTACTTCAGTGTTTGACACAGTAAACACCCAGTAAATGTTAGCTCTCCTTGTGACTATAAAAAATTAGCTAATAACATGAGCCAGTTTGCAATAAGTGATGAGTGATAAGGCTGCTAGCTCAGAAGTGAGCATGTTATGAATATTATAAAAGCTATGTATTTGACTATAAACTGATCTATTTTTGTATTAGCACAAAATTCTATACATATTTTATTTCTAGAGAAGTAACTTAGGAAAGCAGTAATAATGTAACTTTATCTTACAGTCACATGTTATCTTCCCGAGGAATAAGAGTTCCTAGAAACCTGTAGATGTGCGTTTTGAGGAATATGTGAACTTACATTCACATTCCCATCCTAGAGAACACAGCCATCCAAAAAAATATCAATGGATGACACTGGCACCCTGAATAAAATCCGCAAA